AGAAAATTCAATAAACAATATAAAAATACATGGAAACATCCACCCAGCTGAAACCATTACCTCTGCGTCAACCAATAAGAGCGGAGCGGTTATGGTTTAAAGTGGGTGGACGCTTCCATGTATTCACAGATTGTTTATTGTATTTTCCAGAGTCTGATGGAGCTATCATCATTTCGTCATACACGGAGAGAATATAAAATAAAAAATTATTATGTGAACATAATAATCGAGGACCATACCGGAAAAACTTTAAAATTTGATTTATTTTAATCCATCGTTTGAGATGTAAAATTCATTTTTTACGATTCAACATAGTAATTTTTAACGCAAAGTGTTAAAAACGCTTAATTTTTTTACCAATTGCTACTATTGAACGACGAGAAATTACTCAAATCGTATGAATTTTTAATATTTTAAATTGTAATTTTTTGTTACGACTCAAAACTTTAGTTTATACTCTCGCGCCTCCTACATTTTACTCGAGGAAATAGTAGAAATTACTGTATTGAGTTGTAAAAACTCCAGCGGACTACGAGAGCGTCCAATAATTTCAATTCTTGGAATCTCCTTCCTCCGTCAACCATGCAATGGCCCTGGTGGTGGATTCTACGAGTCGAAAAAATTAAATCCTCCCTCTCCCCCTCCTCCGTTTCAGAATGAATATAAGTGGAGCAAAATTATTGATAATAATTTCTGAAGACGAGAAAGACGATTAAATATGGTTTTTGACTTCGGTTATTAAAAAAATCCCCTTCTTTGTCGTCCTCTCCCGGGAATATTCATTTGGAAGGGGGGGGGGGGGGATTTTTTTTAACCAACGAAGTGAAAATTCATGTTTATCCTCCTAAATTTGACTCATATCAATTGAAAATTTAGCTTTTATGCTACCATTGTCTACTATACCGACTCTCAATTTTTACTATGTTCAACAGTAATTTTTCCAACGGACTCCATCATATTTTAATTTTGTCAGTCGCAGTTTTTCATTTGTTCTTAAAATTACTATGTTAAACAGTGAATTTTAAGAAGTGGCGATTATGGTCCTGCATATTCTACTTTTCATATTCGGAATTAATATAAAAAATCCTGCAAAAAAAAATTTTGGTTTATTGAAATAGTGTGAAATGCCTCATTACTATGTCCCCACAGTAAGAATAATTTTATATTTTTTCCGCATAAGGTCATTCTACCCTCGCCTTCGGCTTCGGCTGCAAACTCATATTCGCCAGAAAATTTGTTTTCGGCCTTGTGACTAACAATATTTGTTGGCATAACGGCCGTAGACAAAAAAATATTTAGCGAAACGTTGCACTATGAGAATTTAATCGATATTGTGTACTTATTTCTCCACAATCCTTTTGAACATCTGTTTCAATAATTGAAAGATTTTCATTTGAATAAATATACAAGTTTCTTCATTTCCAGGAAAAATATTGTTATGAAAAGAAAAATGTCAAATACACAGATTCATTTGACTGAAATGCATCATTTCTCTGGAAATAGATTTCTGATGCATCTTCATCCACCTGTCCACCACTTCACTAGAAAATTTCTATCCAATTTGTTTACTCACTTTTTAGCAATCTGTTTATTTAAATCTGCGCATTACGATAGCGACGCGTGTGTGTCTCTGTGCGTGTAGAGAGATGAACGAGGAAAATGAAAATTTATTGCTATCCACGTAAAAGGATTCGGGATTCAAAGGCACCGGCACGCTCTGCGGAAGGACGAGTCAGATCGATTCTCTTCATATACTTTTTTTTCATTTCCAGATTCATTATTTTTGTGGTGTCATCTGCGCGTCCTTCCGCTCCATGCACACGTCGTCGCCACCCCTTTTTACAATATTTTTTTTTTATTTCGCTTGTAATATTTTTTAACCATGTCGATTCTCCTGAAGTTGTATATGGAACTCGTGTAGAAAAATTATCGCCCACGACTATCAGCGTCACGCACGACGCGATTATTACAGCATACGTAATTAGACAGGTTTTCCACGCTGTTTTTATTTTCACTTGCAAGTGCGTTTCTTTTCTTTTCGTTAGGGTTTTTTGTTTCTGAGTTGTTACTCGTTCAAGTACGTTTGAGGGTCTCCCTCGATCCAGCCAGCTCCATTTTTTTCAGGTTTTATAGAAATCTGAAATAATTCTGGATTTTTATCTTGAGTACATTCACAGTTCATGTGAATCTTTTGAATTTTTTTCACCATGATTCATTTCAAATAATAATTCTATTGCACGGCGAAATTGCGATCATGAACTTTCGTTTCATATTATTCTTCTGGAAATAGGAAAGTGTTATAATTCATCGAAAGGAAATGTTTCATTTTTTCGCACTGCACTGATGGAAGGATTCGTCTACTGTTAACTACAGGGTGACGTCAGCACTTTGCTTACAAATTTCGGGAGGACACAGAGTGGAAATTCAGGAAGTCAATGGAGCAAAAATTATTCAATTCCGATAATAGACTTTTAAATAGTGAACGTTGGAACTTTTCAACACTTCAGCCAATCACATCGTGATTGACTGCCCCCATGTTTCGAATCAGTGACGCAGCTGTCAATGGGACTCGATACGACACGGAGAAAATTATTTGGTAAATTTCAACAACTAGTTGTTGAATTTCAACAACGAGTTAGTGAATTTTAATAAGTAATGGTTAAATTTCACCAACTAGTTGTTGGAATTCACCAATTGGTTGAGAATTCATTTTTTTCAACAACTAGTTGTTGAAATTTAACAAACTAGTTGGTGAATTTCAATAACTAGTGGTTAAATTTCAACTAGTTGTTAAATTTTACGAACTATTTGTTGAAATTCACCAAATAATTTTCTCCGTGGATGCTTAATATCGCTCCCCATGTTGATAAAATTATCGGTTTAATTGCTGCAATGAAAATTGGACAAACTATCCCACACAATGTTGCTCCAACTATTAGCACACAATGTTGGTAAAATCATTGCAGCAAACACATAAAAAAACCGAAGCGTAAATTATGCTCTGCTAAGCATAATTTACGTTTTGCGAAATATAAATTGCGCTTAACGCCAATATGATGTCTTGTGGCTTTTTTTTTCGCCATAAAAATCAGAATTTAGATTTCAAAACGGTATTTTCCAGTCAACATAAAAACGTAGATTACGTTCAAACAAAGCGTCTTTTACGTTTCACTAAGCGTATTTCACGCTTAAGAAATCGTAAATTACGATCTTAATAGAAATGTATTTTACGAACGATTTACGCGTAATTTACAAAAAAAAAACGTCATATCTTACGCTTCAAATAGCCTATTTTTTCTTCGTCGTTAATTCCGGATAAGTAAATGAAAAATACGGAAAAAATATCGTAATTTAGAAACACGAACCCGTAAATTACGTTCATGTAATCATAATTTACGGTGATTTTGAGTGTAGTTTACGCATCAACTTTAAGCGTAAAATAAGTTTAGGTTTTTTTATATGTATAATTGTCACATTTCCATTTTCAATCATGATGCCATGTCGGAGGTCTACGATGATGTTATTGGCTAAATCATTGAAGAATTCTAACGCTCACTATTCAAAAAATGATCATTGTCATTTCATAATTATAGTACCATTGAACTGCTGATATTCCATTCTAAATTTGTAAGCAAGGTGCTGACGTCACCCTGTACAGCAAATGACACAGCTAAATGCGATCGAATGATCAAAAGATGATTTGGTTAACTGAAGAAAGTGGAAACAAATGTAGTATTCGTTAACATCTAATGCATCATAGCTAATAGCGTTCGCCGCGTTGCATTGCATGGGCTGTGTAACTAGATATGACTGAGTGAACCTTTATACGAACGGAAGGAAAAGGTCCAAATGAATTCGGTTGTTAACTATGAATCGAAACTTCTATTGGCGTTTCGGAGATACAAGCGTTTTTGAGCATAATTATCAAAAATGATTCATACAGGTAAGAATTTACGGATGAAATTTCGGGTAAACATCTCGGAAATTTCTACCGAATGACATTGAAATACACTGAAATTTCCGAGGAAATTTCAAAATTCTCATCTTTGAAAAAATACGATTTGATGAGAAAACCTTCCAGTGAAAATTAGTCAACAATGAAAAAAAAATCATAAATTCAATTGTGAATTGAAATAAGTTGTAAAATATCCGTCTCATTGTCACTCAAAACTTATGAATTCACTTTAATTTTCAGCTAAAATTAAAATACGATAAACTTTTTTCCTCTAAATTGAAAGCAATGTCACCCTTTCAGAAAAATACAACTAGCCTATTCATGAAATTGCACATTATATGCAAATTACTGATAACTGAAGAAAATAAAAACTGTGAGCAATCAACTGTTTCCCAACTTTCCTACCGCCGAGAAAAAATTTCAATGAACGCATTTATTTCTGAAAATGTCCATTGATGGATCGATTTAATTCCTTCAGCTTCTCAATTATCAACGCGACTCGTTAGTAGTTAACGAAAGGCACCAACAGTAAAGGGGCCTCGTTAACAGTAACTAAATCGTTCCGCACGGTTTCTATCACTGTATGCATTCTTCACAATCCGATATCACATTGAGCAGCCGTAGTGAAATGAATTCCGCGAGCTACCGAAATTATTTCAGACTCCTTCACCACCTCAAAAAAACTAGTCTACCAGACGGAGAATACCCTCACCTTCAGTTAGATGAATCAAAAGTCTCCACCATTTATTCGCCTTTCTCTTGTCTATCCGTCATCACCCCTGGAAGATCGCCTCCACCAGTCCTTTGGCATTCGAATCCATATCACAAATTACTCTCACTATCAATAGCACAATAGCGGCAAATCTGTACGTCTAATCCTCGTCTCTTTGGTACACAAAATACTCAACAACAAAAACAATAAACAATGCAAAAAAACCCAACACAACCGCCCCCTCCTCAGGTAATTGACACATCGGGCAATGAAACCACTAAAAATTAACCCCTAGGAAGCATAAAATTCTCTTTAAGAAAAACAATAAATCCTCTAACGCTGATGGATGTGAGTCGTGAGGTGTTTTGACAGATAATCGGCGCGTGCGAAGCACTTGCCGCACATTTCGCAGTGATAGGGTCGTTCCCCTGTGTGGATCCGCAGGTGCCGAGTCAAGTCGCTCTTGCCTCCAAACGCCCTGGCGCAGAACAGGCAGACGAAGGGTCTCTCCCCGGTGTGCTTGCGAACATGAAGCTTGAGATTCTCCTTCGACCTGACGCACTTTCCGCAGAAGGGACAAGCGAACCGTCGCTCGCGTCGGTCAGTGTCATGTGCCCTGACGATGCTGAGGACCCTCTCAGTGGCCTCAGAGGCCTCCTCCATGGTATGTTCATTGGTTTCCGGGGTGTCGCCCTCGGTCTGCGCCATTATAACCGACCTCGTGGCGTCGATAGGCTGATCAGGAGCTTCCTGCACCTCCTGCAGACTCGCTGTCTCCGAATTCGTCTCTATACTCGCACTCTCCGTCAAATCTTTGGCAGTCTCCTCCGTTTCGTTCGTTGGACTGGCGGCCTCACTTCTACCCTCCACAATAGACGGCTCACCAGTGCTCGAGACCTGATCACTTCTCTCAGCTGGTGTCGATACTATCGACAATCTATTCGCCAAGTGCTCGGGTCCGCGTTGCAGACGCTCTAGAGCATGATTCAATCTGTGCTTTTTAAATGATTTTAAATACCTGAATTGCATACCACAGACGTCACACGTGAAGAGCTTGTCGGCGGGCAGGCGGGCGCGATGATTCTGCTCCCGGTGTTTAACGTATGCCGAGCGATAACGGTAACGCTGGCCGCACTGCTCACAGGTGAAGGGCTTATCGTCATTTGGCTGGCCAGCGTGCTGAAGGAGCGCATGACGCTCGAGGAGCCAGGCTGAGGGGAATGTTGCCAGGCATACGCCGCATCTACGGGCCAGGGTGGCTAGGCCGAATGTACTCTGGGGGAGGAGAGGGCTGCCTGTACTACGGGCACGATCGACTAGCGCACCCCAACCACCTGCCTCCAAACCAAGGGCCAATGACATCTGGGAACAGGTGAAATTTTACGTTACTCTGGGGCTTTATTTTTTCGCGGGAGTTCTCGGCTCGGGGAGCTACTGCTGGGGGAGCGGGTTGAGGGTGGACTTACCGGTTAATTTGATGAGTTGTTGATTGGTTTGAAGAGTGCTTTGCCATTTGATTATTCATTAGTTTGAAATTGGAGAGATTGGATAAATTATTTAATGTTAACACAAACAGTTTGCAGTTTTTATTTCACAAATTGGTAATTTACAACTATGATATGCATTCGTTCATCTAAGAACTGAAAAAAATATATTATTAGATAAAAAATGAATAAATTATTTTACATGAAAATTAAGTGTTTTCTTCTTCTCCGTTTTTTTCTTTTTTTATCTTCGTATTTCTGCCCCACAGGTGGTTTATATTTTGCGAGCGGTTCCACGCGGAGTTGAGGACAAAGTCACGGGAGTAATGGTTTTATGGTTATTTTCGTAGGAAAAACGAGCTTTTCGAATTGATTTCCGTGAGGTTGGGATTGTTTTTGTGACTTTGGCCTCAATTCTTATGGGAGATAATCCATGAGTCCAGTGGTTAGTACGAGCTTTTTTCGACGTTTTTTCCTATTTATTCGAAATTTAGTGGTTAAATTTTCATTATCCCATCTCACAAATCGTTCACTCCTCAACTCTTTCGCATTTTTTTTCCGCGCTATAAGACAACGTGTGTGAATTCCGGATTATCTACAACGGTGTGTGGATGTGTAAAGATTTTATTTCTCTCTTTTTCTCAGTGCACGATGAACTACGGGTGAACAAATAATTATTTTTCATTCTTTAAATTGATTAAAGCCGGAATTAAACCCAATGATTTGCGCTAATCGCGAGTGAGCCCAGACGTTAATATCAATAATCATATTTTTAGAGTTCTTTGTTTTATGTTTTTTTTATTTCTCTCAATAAACAGTTTATTCTTGTTTTCCGTTGTAGCGTGAGGGTAATGATATTTTTCGGCCGTAACAGCGTACCTAGAATCAGCAAGGTCGCATCAGGCGATTCCCGTTGCAACACGCGACGTGACGAGTACATTGCACGTCCCCAATAAAACGGGGATTTAAACAAAAAGTAATAACAACCTTGCTGAGTTTTTTTTTCACTCCCAAAAAATGTGAAACATGTCGTTATCAATAGACCGTTTGGACTCACTCGCACTACAAATTTAACAATATTTTCTTTGTATTTTTCTCTCATTTCCAATTGACATAACACAAACACACATTTTTCGAGTCAATTATCATTTTCCTGCATTCGCTATTTCGTTCTCTCTATTACTATTATTACTGTGATAATGGCATTATGTTGAGACTTGTGGTAGGATTGCTCATCAGAACATTGCATTACTTCAAATCATTTAATCATAAAACTCACGTATTCACATCTGTAAACGAAAAACCTTTGAAAAAAAGTTGTTTGGGTTGGCACAAAACGAAATATGTTTAAGGTAGATTATTTCCTCTGTTTTTTATTTGTTGCTTTGGTTTTTAAATACTCAGGGGATTGTGCGGGGGCGTCGGGCCGGCCCGCACAGAACTCGTCCGACGTATGAAAAATATTCCGTTGTTAAACATCGTTTTTTTATTTTTTTTATCTTTAAAAAAGTTATTGCATCTGGGTTTATCATTTTCATTTTTTCATCTTCACTTTTTAAAATCATACCTATGTTGTATAGGTACACGCATTATCATTAATATTGTACAAATATTTGTTGTAAGTCGGTACAAACGTTACTGTAGAAAAACATAACAATTTGTAGGTATTTTGTTTTTTTATATCGGTACGGAGAAAGCTTATTGATCTGTTTACTCTGTTTTTTAACGATATTCTTTTATTCCTTCTATTTTTTTCGGTATCTACTATGTGAGCTTTCAATACTATAGGAGGATGCTGGGGAGGGGCGGGAGAGGTTTTTTTTATGATTAAAATACTATTATTTATGGATTTGTCCCATCGTGCAGCTTAATCAGCGATCGGAGAAATGGAAAATAAAATTTTAATATTGTTCAATAAATTCAATCGACTCCACTGGCAATTTGAAGAGTCTTATGCGTATTATTGGGAACGTATTTTCGGAGGGAAAAGGTTCGGACGTTGTGAGGCGTTACCGAGAAGCCTTTCTTCAGGGAAACTGCGAGAGTTGTAGGGAAGTTTTGTGGGTGAGTCTTCGTAAAGCTGTTGGTTTGTGAGATATTTGTGAAATAAAATTCACAGGGGGAAAGAGTTTCTGGTTGCCAGCGACAGTTTATGGACTTCGGTACTGAAATTCAGACTTCACTTTTCGTGAAAATTCTCTGAGAATCACAGAAAAAGTTTTCGTTTTCAGGAATTTTTACGGAAATGCAGTACTCATGGTACTTAAGGAACTTTCTCAATTACTCATGGATGGTTGAAATTTCGCAACGTACGAAAGACGCAAAATTTGGATCACATGTCAATTCATCATCTCATCAGTCTCATCTTCATGCCTGCAAGAGTCGGAATTTTGAAGGGATGTAGATTCGCCAATTTATTGGCAAGATTCTATGAAAATCTGAAAATTTGAATAATTGCCCTAAATTTTGAGGGTTTTGTATTAAAAAATTCAAACTTTATTAAAAAAATTGGCTGAATTTACTAGAAAAGGACCTTGAATTCGATTTAAGGGGAAAAAGTGGATGAAATTTCAAGTTTCGCTGAAAATTCAAGTAAAACCCCAATGTTTTAACGGCAGGAAGACGGAAATTCCATAATTTACATAAATTTTAAAGTAAAAATAAATATTCACTCCTAATTTCCCTCGAATTTTTTCAAAATCTGGAATTCAAGGGGAGATTTTTCTGAATTTTTTAAATTCTTCACTCATTTTCCCGGAATAATTAAACTGAAATTTATAGTTCCCACGGATGTTTCCATGAATTTATGAATTTTCACTGACAAAATTCCTTGAAATTTCAGTGGACTATTTGTATGGTTAATTTCAGTGGTTATTTGTTAGAAATTTCCAAGACCGGAAATTTCAGTGAAAAATTCGTAACAGTACATACAACAGTGCAGAATAACACTATCATTTCCGTTGAGTTCGGACAAATGTCTCACGTGTACATATATGACAATACAAGTACGTGAGACATTCCAAGAAATACTGCGTTGATTGCAAAATTCAAATAAACCACAATCGTCCCTGGACTATAGAATGAACTTCCTCGAATTTGACTTCGCAATTTTTCCTTTCAACTCCCCAAGTTCTCCTCCCTCACCTTTCTCATTCTTATCCAGACCGTACGTATGACACAAGAGAAATGGCATCGGATTATCCGTGCGGCAAGCGGGCATCCGTTTCAATAAAAGAAAAAATGTCCCCTCTCCCCGACATCGCCCCTTTATTTAAAACAGTAAGAACTGGACTTGAGGTCAAACTCGTTGGAGAAAAACCATTCCAAGAGAGACGGAAAAAGCCCTCACTCACCAGTGGGTGGAGAAACAGTTTCTCCCCTTCTCCACATGTACGAGAAGAAATTCTGAAGGGGTGGGGTGAGTGAGAAAAGCGCGCAACCCTCCTACGCGTCTTTGCCACATACGTCACCCGGTGACCCGATCCACAAACTCACAGGGGGGCAAACGCACGAGGCGAACTGGGGTAGTAGTATCTCAACCCGGCGAGTGGTCGAGTCGAGTGGAAGTGGGGGAATGGTGTAGGCGTGTGCGAAAGGTGCGACGCTCGGGTCTTGCCCATAGGCGTAAGCACACTCGGTAAAATCCCTAAGAATTCATCGACCCAACTAAACCCAACAACTTTCCAAAAACAATATCGACAAGAATCCTTTACACTAATCCGTTATACCGCCGAGGAAAAAATCCTTCATCCATGATAAAACAATGGAAAAATGTCCCAAAGTTTTTCCATCCAATTTACCCCTATTCTCTCTCATTCTCACCCTCCCCCCCTTCCAGAGGGATTACCAAAGAGAAAGCGAGGGGAAAGGTGCGGACGTAGGCAGTTGCATCGACGAGGCCGGCGAATATCCGCGGGGGGGGG